ATTTCACTACGTTCTCTAAGAGAATAACTGAACAATAGCGTAGAATGTCTGTGCAGTTCCTATTAAATACCAAAAAGTGTTAGTTACTGATTTTTATTAGCGTTAAGAATAGTTTTCAAGAATTCTGAAACAAGTAAAAAAGTTCAAAATATAACACAAGTGTTTCTGAAACCGTTCATATATGTACCATATTTGGATATGCTCATGTTCTGATCTCTGGCAAATATATTTTATTGCAATTACTCCGCTACAACATTAAAAAGAAGAACACTATCTATATATACATTTTGTGTCCCCATGCCAATGTCTGACCTTTTCTGTGGATGATCTCACTCAACAACAATTAGGTTGAAAATATTTTGTACAGATGCCAAATATCAGATCTCAAAAAGGTACAAGACCTTCAGCTGGATTATTTTTCTGCATTCATCTGCTTACCGATATTTACACATATAGGCCTTTTAAATACATTTTGATAAATGGTGGGTTTGTATCTTGTTTCACATTCATCCACTTATCAAAAAACTTTTAAAAAATTCAGCACAAAGGACTTCGAACTGTCATAAGGGTCTGTCAACACAGAATTTATAGTTTATTTCAGCCCAAGCAGTTGTATGCACAAATAGTTCCTCCTCCTGCCTGGAGTGCTATTGGATACATTGCTTTTCATATTCCACCTTAGCCAGTAAGTCTATAGGGAACAACGAACAAATATATTACCTATCACAGGTGACAGGGATGCTAAGCAGCTAGCCTCCCATTAGGTTATTGGCTAAAGGAACAGAATAAAGAGCAGACGCAGCTATGCAGAGGCAGCCAGTGTTTAGGGACCCATCTTCTTTGCACTGTTTGCACAGATTTTATGTTTTACTAGGAATTATAGTGCCCAGTACATGCTTTACCCAGTATTCTCACCTGGACTCTCCGGCAGTTACAAAATAAAATCACTAATCTACGAGAGGCCTGAAGTTTCTGCATATTTAACTCATCCACCCTTTAGCAGCCACAGCTTGTGTACACTGGCTGCCTCTGTAATCCTGCACGCAGGAATCACAAAAAGGCTTCAAAGTCTACATCAACAGTAAAACAGACAAATGCAAACTCCTTTTTTTTTTTTTTTAAGGAGTTATTCAGTTTGTTTAAAAATTTTTTTTTTCCTGTGTCACTGACTAAAACAACAAAAAATGTGAGGCATGCTATTGTAACAAGAACTCAAATTTTAAAAGTTTTTCACAAATTAGCTTGTCTGCTCCAGAATGGGAACATAAATTTGCTTTCCATGAAACATTTAAATATTCTCCCCTTTGAAAAGGGCCATACTTCATCTCCGTAAAACAATGTAATTACAACTTGTAAAAATGAGAAGTAGTAGAAACGTTCATTTCAAAATGAGAAGTTTGCAAGAATAGACAGAAAACAAATTATGTTGAATGTGGCCATGCCTTGTAATAATTTAGCACATAGCTTCTCAAACCAAAATTTAAAAATTCTCTCACTCCAATTATAGACAGCCTCTAAAGATTATTTTAGCAGAATAAAGAGCAAGTATTCAGACAGAAAACTCCCTTTACCTTTAGTCTTGAAAGCATTAGGAGTTCAATTTGTTAGAACTGTCCCTATTTAGCCTACAATACATTGGAAATGTATTAATTTACAGTCTCCAAACTGGAAGAAAACCTACTAATTTCCCTTTTAAAATGCGGATCATGGCAAAAAGTAATCACGATATTTCCCAGAACAGTATCTGCCCAGAATTAATTTAATACTGCAATTTTACAAGAACAAACAGATGTCAGAAACCTGTGACACAGATTAATTTGCAATTTAGACCATCATGTTATCATTAACTTTCCAAGTTAACAACTCACCTGCTCAACTCATAAAAAAAAAAAAAAAAAATCTAATATCCAGAATTTTGGACAAGTGTGGTTTATTTTTTTATTTAATTTCTGAAGATTCTCTATAGGCTTATAATCTCACATCAGTATAACTGATAGTAACTTACATTTTTTAAACCGATAAATTAAATCTTAATATGTAAACAGTTGAAGATATAGATAAGCATGTTAAAGGTGGGGGGGTGGGGAAAGGCATTTTCAATTACCATCCAAATCCAACTATTGAATTAATACACAAGAAATTGTGGAAGCAGACATGAGCACTACGGCTTCAGGCTTCTCTCAGAGAATTTTTTGTCAGACTGTTTCCCCATTAAACAGCAAGATTTCTTTGAAAAAACAATCCATCCAAATACCATTTACTATTAAACATACATTCTAAACAATAAAAAAAGACCACACAGAACTGAAGCAACAGTAGTTAGGAAAGCACCACTGAGAGCTCACTGGATTTTGCATTTAATCCATCGTAAAATATTTATAACCGTTTTGAAAGGGTGGTGGGGTTGGATTTTTGGTGATGTGGTTTGGGTTTGGGTTTTTTGAGACACTTGGAAAAAAGACCTATTCCTTAAAATTCGCAGTACTAATAATAACAACGAACTAAACAACTAGCCCTGGAGAGACAGTTGCACCCAACTGTGGCAAGCAGTAGAACATTTATAGAATTTTAAGTATTTCTTTTAATAATTGATGTAGTCATTTTGAATCTTTCTGCATAGGATATAACGTGTGAGTAGATTGCATTAACACTGCTTAAACATTTCAACTTGTCAGTATGGCCAAGTCGATTTCTGAAATATTTGCAGTATTTTCCCATCGAAACAGTAATAAAGGTAGAATAAATATATGCCACTGCTTTATAATCACTGAACATTAATGAATATTTTATGTCTTTTTAAATCTCCCTGTTTAATTTAAAAGGGTGAAATTAAGTCTCCTCCCTGCAATATGCCAATTATCTGTAAATCAAACAATAACTTGGCCATTATACTCCTTTTTGTTAATATACCAGAAGCTAATTTGAAAACACTGAACGGCATTTTTAGGTAATAATTGAATAGTCCTTCCTGCCCTCTCGTGGTTGGCAACTGCAACTCGCAGAGAGCTTTTCCGTGATTACAAAAATATACCAGAAGGAAAGTAAACTACTAATTTGTTACAGCGTGAACACGAAAGTGAAGAAAAATGAAAAATCTAACAGTCCCTGGAGAGAAGAGAGATAAGGGCAAGAAGAAAAGGAAAGATATCACCGATTTCTCCACATTGCACAGACTAACCAGATTCATCAATCATTTGTTACAACGCTCACTCTATGTTAAAAGAAAAAAATAATTCAATTAAGTAGCCATTAGGGAGTTAACATAGAAAACAGTGCTTGTTTCCTATAATTAGACAAATGTTCACCAACCCTTTTACCTCAGCCAAATCCCCAGTGATTTCCACAAGACTTTGCACAGCCAGACACATTCACCTGTTCAGCATCAGCTGCACAAGAAGGTACAGAGTTCTCTTTTTATTTTAGCCTCTCAAATTGTCTTCATAATTTTATACACTCTATTGGATGTAACACTTAGATACAAGACAGAAAAGCAAAGCAAGTTTTCATGCTCATGCTGGTTATGGGGCGGTAGGGTTTTTTTTTTATTTAGGCTGTTTAATGGGGAAACTTGTAACTGACTTTTAAATTAAGTCAACTTTATATCTTAACGTATTGACAGCAACCTGCCACTAGTAACAAAAAAGAAACTTCAGTGCACGTAAAGGCAGCCTAGATTCCCATACACTGTCACAGCCTTCTGGTTCCTTTAAGTCAGGTACGACACACCAGCAAAGTAGTAATGGATATAGCATAGATAAAAAAACAAACAGGCAATATTTATGTATGTGTCTTCTTCTAGAATCTCACCATTTTAAAATTAAAACCAAATATTCTCATCATTTATTTCCATAAATATTCAAATTATTTTTAATTGTAAACAGTCAGAGTTCAGCCTTTCAAAAAACAAACTGATACAACTATGTTTGTTTGTTTATATTGTATTATAGTAAGTTCTGTGTTTTTTAATAAGTTTAAAAAGGTAAAGTATAAAACAGGCTTTCACGCAGGTGAAAGATCAGAGTTTAGATCTTAAGTATAACAGGATTCACAGTGAAAACAGTTAATGATCATTTTTCATTGTTGTATGAGATATATTAGCTCCTATAGCTAATATTACAGAACTTAAAATAATTCTGTCTACAATGTCAGCATTAACATGAAAAACATCAATAAAACCTGTTCAACCCTAAAAGACCAAGAGAAGTGTCAGACCAATAGCAAACGTACATTTAATTTGAAAAGCAAATATTTAACCTTAATATTTTGTAATGTGAATTCTGAAGATTCACATTTCTGGATTGTTTGTCATGTTTCGAGAAGCTAGTAGGTTATATGGAAAATAACATCCAAAACATCTGGCATTAGACATACCATGGAGCATTGGACAACAACCTTTGGCTTTAGAACAGAGTTTTAAAAATACGCAAGGACTGCTTCTTCTAAATTCAGAGGGTCCAGAGTCATATTAGAGTTATTTGTTCCTATAGGACATAATTCTGACCAAGTTCTCTACAACATCACCCCTTGCTGGCCATTCTACAGAACAGCAGTGATGTCCATTATATACAAAACCATTTGGCTACCAAGGCAGTAAGAATTACAGCACTACGATAGCAACCCGTAACGGTAGAGGTGCCTACAAAATGGAGATGGAGATGGTTAAAAGAAGGGAAGACAGAAGGAGCTTCAAGGGGCTTAAAGATAAAATGTTATTTGAATAACTGCCTTTCCTCATCGCTGTAAAATAACTCAATAAACATCATTTGTTATTTTGCTACTACAATGTAAAGAGAAACACTTTTTCTGCATAATTCAACAGAAAACCTTTTTTAGGCCAAGTTCGTTAAGCAAATCACAACAATCTCGATGATCCAGTTAAACCAAAAAAAAAGGCTAATAAGATACAGGAATATCATCAAGACCATGTAAACCCTCTTTAACAGAGCTGGCCTTAGCTATAATGAGCTACGTTTATTCTTCAGCTGTGAAACAGCACTCACCTCCTGAATGGTACTGCTTCCTGAGAAGTTGAGGTTGTACTCCCGCTGGACTTCTCGATGGGTGATGATCAGCATGAAGTTTTGATTTAATGACTCCTGCAGGGCCCTGAAATGGTTGAAAGAAAAACAAGAAAATCAGAGATAAGCATGTTATAGCTTGTTTTACAGTTAGATGCAAAAACCCCAGGGTACCCTAAACTCCACATGGACAAGTCCAGGCACAACATTATCATCTCTCTTTTCACTCTTAAACGCAAGGAAGCATGCTGAGAATGACCAAAGGCCATTCCTGAACTCCTTCCTTAATAAGGTGACTGCAGCCTTTAAAGCTCTTCTAATGTTAAGTAGTCTCAAACTCGAGAGAGTCACATTATCTTCACAAACATCGGGTATATTTAGCACTCATAATGCCATTAATACCAGGCTTGTAAGCATATTGATGACCAGACAAAATATCAAGCTACACTCCACATTAAAAACTGATGGCAAGTAGAACAAGGCAAAGCATGCTCCCGCTTCTGTAGGGTTACCTGAAGCATAAACCAAACGGAAATCCTTCCGCTTAGTTTCATTCAAAGCACATAAACCCAGCTAATTAGAACTGGAAAACTAACCACAGCAAAATTTCTCATGTGGGTATTGAGCATTCAGAAAAGTTAGTTCTGCTCAAATTGTTTTAACTGTATATTAAAACTTCTTTAATCACATGAATTTTAAAAAGTAATCTTAAGATACAGATTAAACAGGCCAACTGTGTGTTCATGTTGTCACAAACTTGAGGGGTTTTGTGATTTTCCTGATAACAAAACATCTGGATGTTAAAAAGGCATCCTGTTTGCTTAATTAGGTTTGGTGCACGATTACGCAGCTATCTACTTTTCAAAACCGAAGGCAGGACTTCTGTTTCAGAGACAGCAATTACAGCTGCGTACAATCTTATGTAGGCTACAAATCCGCAGCAACGTTCTAACACAGCTTGGATTTCCAAACGATATTTCTGCAGGCTTGACCTGTTCAGTGGCATATGGAATTAAACTGGGCTTATTCAATTCTTTCTTTTTCTTATCACACACTCTTAAAAGAATGACAGACTGGGGGTTTCTCCCTTCATGTCTTTGCTGTTCCATGACACTTCAACGTGCCATTCCTCTTGGCAATAAAGGACAAATCCCATGTGCAGATGAGCACAGCTGTATCTTAAGATACAAGAAGACAAGAAAGACTGCTAAATTATTTGAGTCCTGAGTTGTTAGTTTTAACGTCTGCTGGAAGTACTGATCTGCCATTTTGCTGCTCAGGTGGTGAGGAACCCATGCAATACCCACTCGATGCTTTAGCAAGAGATGCACAATTTGCTTTAACATCTCCAGAAAAATTACCTTACAAAAATATCTTCACTCAGCAACTTAATTTGGATTCTGTGGCATCTTAAACATGATAATCACATACTACAAAACAAAATCACAAAGTGCTATTTCTTGTCTTTTATGGTTTTGTGATATGGAAGATAAATTTAACTCATTGTCAATGCTAGGTGTGATCAAGTGTATGAGAGACACTACAAATATAACTGAAGTCAGTCATCTATGCTGAACATGAGGTCAGCTGCACTTCTCACAAAATCTTTTAAGAAAAGGACAAAAAAATTTAAAATACTTAGCAGTCCTTCAAAAGAGAAAACAAAGAAAAAGAGTCCTGAGAAGTTATATGCCTATTTTCAAAGCTAATTCTAATTTGATTGTTAACAATAAGTTCAGCATCACCATAACCATATTTTCTTCCGGCAAATGTTCAGTAGCAACTAAAATACCCTGCTGTGCTTTTTCAAATTCTGATTTTTCGTTGTTTTCAGCAAATACTGGAGGCGAATGACATACTTAATTGCTCTGAAAACATTAATTACAGCATATGTAAACGGCTCTGGATTTCATACAGAATCACGCAAGGCTCTGTCAGATATTTTCGACTCCATCTGAAAATTTGGAAACGCTAACTGATAACACGACTCACATTTTCATTCTGTAGTTGATGTAAACACAGAATGAAACTGGCTAGTTCGTCAAACCCTCAGCCTCTCAAGGTACGCACGATACACGCACTTCAGTACTGTCTAAAATACAGCATGCTAATAAAAAGCATCTGTTCATAGGAACGGTTTTCCACTTCTCTATTTCATCTGGATGTGATAGCAGAAAAGGAAAAAATACTCTTCAAACACAGTTAATTTAAATGAGGTGCCTTAAAATTAAAAGCCTCGATTTTTGAAATAACTAACAATTTTGACACCTGTTTTTTTGATTTCTGAACAACATGAACTGAATGTTCTTAACAAGGAAATTGTCAGTACATATTCATAGCCAAATACAGTCAAAGAAGCTAAAAATTAATCTGGCTAAAAAAAAAACCTTGAAAAAAAATTGAGGAAAAAATAGCTTTGAAAGTATTAGCGATTAAAGTGCATAGTTAATTATTCACCTTTTCTTCAGAAAAAGAATAAATGAGGAATATTACTTCTGCTTACACAGAAATGCAGTGGTCAACACCTCCAATCCTTTGAGCTCCAATATCAAAATTTCACATGGTCTGACAGCCATGAGAGCTGGACTGTGTATGTCAGAAAGCCAACGGGAGGAGGAATCGATGGCACATCTGATGGGCCGTTTGTGCCAATGACACGTTCCAACAGCCCCTCTGCGGGATGGGGTTGACTTCAACACCCAGCTGAACAACCAGCAGTGTCAGTCCCCTCCCATACACGTTGCCTTCAGCAACAAGGGACGTAGATCACCCTGAAGTATTTGTGCCAACAGAACTACACTTCCAAAACATACCTTGCCCTAAAATCGTATTTTCAGACATTAAGGCTACAATCAAATGAACAAAATAACTGTATTTAAAGGAGACTTCTCATTGACAGTAAGCTGAAGCTTACTCTTCCTTCTTTTTATAAGTGCACATAATTGCATTGAGAAGACTGACTTTGAACACCATGTATATTTCTAAATTTTGGCTTGAGTGTTTGCAGCAGTTTCATTTTCCTGCAAACATTATCAGTTGATCACAGTCTTCCAAATGAAACATTTGCATTAAAAGAGGGAAGAAAAGAAAAAAATAATCAGGGCCAAACCCCAGGTCCCATTAAAGTCAAGACAGATTTTCTTTTTTTGTTTTTCTTTTCTTTTCTTCCATCGGTGCTAACAGAATATAATTACCCTGAGAATTAATTAGTGGGAAAAGAAAATCTAGAAACAGGATTAAAGTAGGCCACTCTTATCAGCACCATTTCCCCTACTACTGCAAACCCTAGCTTTCAAAAGCATTTGCTGATAGGTTATATACTGCCATTACATTTTTTTTCTTTCCTCAGCTGAATAATTATACATTCACTATGCAACCCAGGAGGCAAGGAAATTTGATGGTATTTTTGGGCACTAGCCTTCCATTAAAGGAACTCTGTCTATACCCAAAAAAGAAGTCCAAGAAGAGACAAAAGAAAATAGACTTGAGCACAGTCATCGCTCTAAACAATCCTAGAAAGAGAGATTTGGATCAGCTGAGGATTTCATACGGTTTGCCTACATAGCATTGGTTATCAGCATTACCACGACACACAGAAACCTCAATGATGGACCAGGATTCAGTTGGGGCTGAAACTCCACAATATACAAACAAAAATGTTCCTCTTTGAACTTAAATTTCAAGCCATAGAAATTTCAAGATATTTTTTTCACTACATTCAAAATATCAAAACCCAATTCAGAGTCTGGAAAGAGTTTATTCACGAGCTACTCCATCCAAACTCAAATAAAGTAGTACAATTTATAAACCACAATTCTAATAAATTAAGAATAGAAAGTATATTTACCCAAAAAACGTGTAACTGCAAACAATGCTACTTTTAGGGGACAGCAACTGTTCAATCAACCTATGCAATGCTGAAGTAAGACTGTATTAGTATTGATATTTGTAATAAGCTTCCAGTTTTACTGCTTTTCTATTGTTCTGTAACATTTTATATAAAAAATAGATTGGTTGTATCTATTGTTAAGTGACTGCCTTAATGCTTTGATTTTTGATGTAATACTTTGCTTTTTAATAGCATTTTTCTTTGAAATTTTAGTAATAGTTTAAGCTTTCAAACCAAAAGTACATCCTTAATCAATGGTCAGCAAATGCTTCTTTTCATTTCAGTTCTCTAAGTTTTTATGAAATACAAACAGTATTTCCCATTAGGCAATATCTTTCTCAGTCACACGGAGATTTCCCCAAAAATCTCTGAATTTTATACAAATAGGTATGACACTAGGTAATTAACATTTCCATTTTAAACTTACAGATTTATACAAGCTCATGTCAACAGAAGTCCAAATTTACTGTAATTACAGATTATTGACATTAAAACAAAATAAGAAATCAATATGTAAATGTAATGTTTGTTGTAGCTAATGCAGCAGGAGGTGGTAGATTAGGTTCAAACAGCAATCAGTTAGCAAATCTGGCTAATATGTAAATGAGCAGAAGCCCTTTTGTTTACATTCTATTGCATTTTAAACTTCAGGATTTTTAAACTGTCTCATGAGCAGATGTGAAAATAAAACATTAATCTTACCATTCTTATTGAAGCTTTCAAAGTAACTAAAGCAAGGCACTGCTCCTGTCCAGCTAAACAGACAATACTAATAATTGGAGTTGCAGGTTACATCGTTCTTAATTAACACTCTGCTACAGTTGATAGCGTACAACAAGACGCCATGCCACAATCACCACTCCTCTGTAACAATCTAACACACACTCAGCAGTATATGGACCCTTTACTTGAAAGGCAGGGGCTTTTATTGCCATCCACACAGATGATTACATTTCTTACCTAAATTACAACCGCTTAACAAAAATACGTTATTTGTAACAATCACAAAGGTATGCACCTGGTCAAACAGCTTTTAACTGTTTTGAACTTTCCACGTATAATAAAGTATAATAAAGTACCTAAAACTTTCATCTATTTAGCAAAAAAGTATAAATATAAAATATATTATATCCATTAAAGTGCCAACTGAAGAAAAAATTGAGAAAACATGCCTCTCAGAACAGGCGACGTAGAAAGGAGAGGCGATCCGGATGACCTAGCTCCGTGGACAGACTCGCACACCTACGCTTTGGATCCTCCCCTCTATTGCATTCTCCAAAACCTTTTCCCTGAACTGGGTATTGCTGGCTTTCAAGAAGCACCCGAGGCAACAAAGGGAAGGAAAGTCACTCTGAGGAAGTGAAGAATCTAATCTGACAAAGCTGGTGCAAGGGATCTCTCCTTCCCCTGAACAATTAAATGATGGACATTCTTTGGCATCTTTCCTTTTAAAACTGCTTTCCAAAGCAAATAATATTTTTTCTCACCCACCTGTCCCATCCAGCAACTTTTGAACATATTCACTGGTTTCAAGGAGGTCTGACAGCATTACAAAGGTCTCAAAGATTGGACATAAATCGACAGATGGGTAGAGGAAAGGGACCTAAGTTACTACCCACCTTAGGAAAAGGCTGCATTACAAGCAGAGTATTTTTATATTCCATCCAGCCGACTTCTAGCCAATGATTACAGAACTACCTACAGCACGTGATGTCTCCTTTCCTTTGATATTACCTGACCACCAGCCAGAGAACAGACAGGGCAGGCTGTCTATGCAGGGGTAAAAAAAGTGACGTAGGTGCTACAAAATACATGGGAAGAACTGGAGGCAGTGTCAGAGGCAGGTGAGATCACAGCAAGCATGGAATGAGAGGGCTGAGTTACTGCAACCACTGGCATGAGGCAGAAATTGTGAGAAATCACATTTCATTACGTCCACAGCTCACAGAACATGTTGTTACTGTTCTGGATATTGTGCATGGATAAGTATGGCTTTGCCAACTGAAATTGTGGAAGCAGGGCATGTGACCCTACAGGTGGTATTTGACATTTAAATTTAATCTTTACACCCCAATTTACTGGCATGCAGTCGTAATTCACTGGGTTTCTATTGCCAATAAAAGCTTTAGATATGCCACTGACAAACGAAGATGACCTAGGAGATTTTTCCTTGTTTAAACTGCAGGATAACTTTGCCATTACATTCAGATGCCAGTTTTAAGTCAGTTCTGGGTTAAGCCCATTCAGTCTGTCACAATAAAGTTCAATGCCTACGTACCAATATATTGGAAAAGGATGCTTCAGACACTGTTCTCCCTCAGTGTCAAGGACACGCACAAGCTGGAGTTTATAGAGCTGTGATCATATTGCTCCTTTTAAGAAGGGCATGTACATAAAATATCACGTACTGAAATCTCAGGCTTTTCAAATATCACTTTCTGGAGATATTCAAATCACGACTATTTATCTCTAGTTCAAAATAGAAGGCATTTGAAGAAAACGACAGATGAACTCACAAAGTAAGAGGCAAAGTTCCTTAACAGCCATTAATAATAGATGTGAGCATGATGCTTTTAAAAATTGTGGGCAACAAACTAATCTGAATAATAACTGACCTAACAGTAGGCAGTAAACAGTGTAACTGGGTTTGGTACATTGCTTCAATTAGATGTGTTTTGATCTGCATTGATGCTTTAATTGGAGGCAAGCCTCCCCTTTCATCTAGAATTTATGACTTCAGGGAGATGATATAGCCTTCAAATTATCCTTGTTTAAATAGCCACTAATTAATCATCGTTTGCTATCCCAAAGCTACCAACTTTATCTTAAAAACATTCAGAACTAATCTCCACCATGAAACAAGTATAAACTGTAAAGGTAACAACCACTTTGATTTTACTAGCAAGTAAAGTTCTTTTAAACTATTCATCCGACTAAAAAGCTTAAGAACCATTTTTAAACAGTTTATTGTTATATAGTTTATTGCAGTTGCAATAAACAACATTCTTCCGACCCTAGTTTTCTTTCCAGAATCAAAGAAATTCAAATTACAACATACAGTGATACCTGGGTAGAAAATTTTGAAATTGGAAATGGATTTAAAAAAAAACACAAACAAACAACAAAATAAACAATTTGTATCCACAGCGTTTTTCTACAGTATTTTCACTGTCCTTCAATTAGCTGCTTAAGTGCAATGCCTTGTAGTCCTCACACACAACTGCAACTCCTGTTTGCACAGAGATCAAAAACAGTTAACATATAGCTCACCATCACTCTGCTCCCTCTGTTCCAGAGCCACTATCCCCTCTCTTAATGCTTTTCATTATTATTATTATTATTATTATTATTGTAATTCATATCAGCATTCTTATTTCCTCCACAGACTACATGGTTATGTGCACAAGTACCTTTTCGTAATCCATTAAGTACTTTTAGTCATTAGGAAAACAGTTATTTATTTCCATCGATTGTCAAAGAATTTCCTTCATCAGTAACATGACTGCATTTGTAGAATATTCTCCCATCGTCTACAACAGCAGAAAAACAACTCCCTCTTCAGACAACTTGAAGGCACTCTAGTCTAATGATCATGCAACTGGACCGATCCCAAATGCCACCCTCCCTGCCGGCCAGAGCGGCGCTGCCCTCCCAGGCTCCATTACCGGGTACCCTCTAGTGGCTAAAAAACACAAAACAAAATGCTGAAGAGCGCATACAGGTCTGCCTTTGAGAAAGGGAAGCGCAGGGAAAAAAACAAGCCAAAGCAATCAAAGTAATTGCAAATTGCTTTATAAGAGTAAAGATTCCATTTACCATAAAATAACATTTCATTTTCACCTTAGCTATAGCCGCTGACACACGGACACTCACCGTTAACTTTCTGAGTATTCAAATCAGTAATAAAAGATATCGTGCTCCATTAAAGGAAATTAATTATTCGGCCTATCTACGTACATTTTAAAAGTCTAAGAAGGCAAAATAAAATAATGTAACAAACACTTCAGAAAGAAAATTCTGATCTGCTGGCAACTATTTATATAAGTTTACATTAAACGAACCAACATAAAGCAGTAACTTAGGAAACATTAGCTCCCATTTCCACAGGGACTAGAATTTTGTTAAATTAAAGTCATCACAACTGGGAGTTGTAAAATTCTGTATGTACTCAAGTGGTTCATGTACCACATCAGGGTTTTAAAAAACTTAACCACCTTCTTTTCAACAATGAGGTGCTGAGGTAGTTCATCCCAAAACTTACTAAAGCAGCAAAAGCACTTTGTATTTACTGATTGCAGATTCCTTCAAGGATACATGTGGCCTCATAAAAACCATACAAAACCAAATTATATAAGTAGAATTTATGGCAAGAAGACTTACCCAGAATGACTTGAAGAAGGAGGAGGCAGGTCAGGTGTTAGAACATAAAGACTATTATTTTTTGGCAAGTGTAGAGTTTTTAAAACAGTCTGAGGGGAGAAAAATCATTGTAAATATAAAATATTCACCAATTTTTATGTATTATTTTATTTCTTTCAATTATTGATGCTTCTTTATAATACCACCAAATGTTTGTTTTGAGATATACTTACTGTTAACTTAATAACATCCTTTTTGTAGGTGGGCCATGTTATACACAAAAAGAACACAAACTGAAGTGATTTGTCCTGATGTTTTTTTTGTAATGTTTTAGTTTTAGAGTTCCTTGTATGCCACCCAAGACATCTAACTCTGTCTGAAACGCACAATTCTTGTAGTGTAATCCCCACCCACAGATGCTCAGTTTGAAACTCCGAATTCAGTTAACTGAACACACAGTGGAAAAACTTACACTATCATCTACATCTCCAGTCTTCCATCCTTTTAACAGCATTTTAGATGCAGGAATCTGAAGTTCATTTTCTAGAATATGTTTGATATCTCCTAAAGAGAAAATAAAGAAAATATATAAATATACACACTCACTGATTTATTTCAAATAGTACTAAGTTGAAGCTAAAAAATAAGAGCAAGGAAAAATTTACTATGAAACTCATTTTTAATTTAGTTATTCTTGTAACATAGATGTCGAACAGTAAATGACAAATGAATCTAAAAAAAATAAAAATAAATCACATAAAGCATGAATAATTGGAGAATCACATGAGGATCTGACGATTTAGATATATATTTGCATAGTTCTACACAGCGTATGCTAGACACACACATTTGCAGATGCATGCTATCTGGAGCGATGGACTTTGCCAGCAATAAAGAGGGTGCACATTTTTGATACCCAATTCCATTATTGATATTGCTGACCTAAAAAACTGGAATGTTCATACAATTTAACTGCTCTGATAGCTTTTCAATGTTTTGCGCATTTCAATGCTCTCCTCTCCCTGTAGTTATTACAGTCATAAAATAATTCAGGCTGGAAGATACCTCAGGAGCTCATCTAGCCCAAGCCCAGCTCAAAGGTCTAATTAAACCAGTTTAGTCAAGGATTTGTCCAGATGACTCTTGAACACCTTTAAAGATGGAAGTTTGAGAACTTCTCTGGCCAACCTGTTCCAGTACTTCACCACTCTCACAACTAAAAATAAAAATAAATAAATCCTTATCTTTAATAGGAATTTTCGATGTTGCAAATGGTGTCAATTGCCTCTCATCTTACTATTGTGCACCTCCAAGAAGAGTCTGGCTCCGTCTTCTCTGTGTCCACCCATTGGGTAGAATCATAGAATCGTTAGGGCTGGAAGGGACCTTCAAAGGTCATCTAGTCCAACCCCCCTGCAACGAACAGGGATATCTCCAACTAGAGATAGTTGGTAGATAGGGTAGTTGCAGACAGGTAAAGTCTCTACCTCTCCTCTTCCCCAGGCTGAATAAATCCAGTTCTCTGCGCCTCTCCTCCTATGTTGCCATGCGTACCAGTCCCCTGACTATCTTGCTGGCCTCTGCTGGACTCATTGCAGAATACCAATGTCTTTCTTGTACTGGGGACCTCAAAATTGGATGCAGTGCTCCAGATGCAGTCTTGCAAGTGCTGAACAGAGGGGAATAATTATTTCCCTGGATCCAATGGCTACACTCCTGCTAACACCTAGGACGTGGCTGGCCGCCTTCACTGCAAGGGCACACAGCTGATGAATCCCTAGACCTCTTTTTTCACAAAGTTGCTTTCTAGCTTGTCAGTCCTCAGCCAGTTATCAAATGGGATAACACGGAGTTATCCTACCCCACACGCAGGACTTCAACTTTGCTTTTTCTGAACTTCACGAGGCTCCTGTCTGCCCATTTCTCCAGGCTGTCTAGGGCCCTCTAAACAGCAGCCTTGCCTTCCAGGATATCAGTCACTTTCTCTGATCTGGTATTCTTTGTGAACTTGCCAAAAGCGCTCACCTTAACAACCAGATTTTCAGTAAAGCCATTAAGCAACACTGGCCCCAGGATCAACTGCTGAGAGATGTCCCTAAGCTCATAACTGTTCACCACTCAGACCTTGAACCCAGCAGTCCAGGCAATTATCCACCTACTGTATCAGTCCACTTTTCCAGTCCTTATCTTAACAATATGACTATAAGAATATTACAGCAGAGTGTGTCAAAGGCCTTACTAAAGTCAAAGTGATATCCACCATTCTCCCCTTGTCCACCAAGCCAATCATCACATCATAAAAGGCAAAAAATGTTGATTAGGCACAATTTGCCCTTAGCAAATCTGTGCTGGTTGTTCCAAATCACCTTCTTTTCTTTTCCATGCTCAGAAAGGGCTTCCAGAAAGATTTTCTTCATAATCTTCCCATAGGCCAAGTTCAGCAATTGCCATTGAACAGTAGGCTTACTTTTTCCTCAGCCTTTGTTTTCATGCTGATGTACTTACAGAAGCCCTTCTAACCCCTCAGTGGTTTCAGTTCCACCTGAGCTTTGGTCTAATTCCAAACCTGCATACTCTGGCAACATCTCTGTATTCCTCCTGGGCAGCCCCATCACTACCTTCCACCTTCTGTGTACTTTCTTTCTACATTTAGCTTAGTCATAAATTCTTTGTTCTTCTGTGCTGGCCTTCTGCCCTTGCTTGCTCCTCTTTCTGCATGTTGGAAGGGACTGTTCTTTTGCTTTGAAGAGGTTGTCCTTGAAGATCAACAAGCTCTCTTGGGCCCCTTTGCCCTCAGGGCAGTCTCTCATGGGACCCTGCCAGGCAGATCCCTGTAAAAGTCAAAAATCTTCTTTCCTGAAGTCCACCGTTGAAATTCTACTATTTGTCATGCTCATTTCTTCCAGGACTTTAAACACAAGGCTGCCTTCAATCTTCATATGCCAAGATACAGACAAAAGTTATACATTGACTGTTTCTGGCCTACAGCTTCATTGTTTATACCTGAAAAAAGTTACTAAGAAAAGAAAAAAAATACTATGGCTGCAAAATTCTGATTTGATTAGACTGTTATATCTGCTTTGCACAGATGCAACTCAGGGCAGTGCAGAGCATAACATGAAACACTAATCAGGAATTCAAACTAACCACCACTAGATGGCACCAGCCAATACCAAATCGAATGCTAAAAAGACAAATAAGGATCAAAAGTTTCAACATCACAGACATAAAGCTGCAGCACTGAAAATTGTTTTAATCAACTACTTCTTCATTTAGTTCCTTGCTTTGATCTGTATAGAGTCTTCACTAAAAAAAATCCAAACAAACAAACAAATCAACCCAAACCTCTTCATCCTTAGCAAAAGTAAATTAACTCACAGTTTGGGCAATGTAAAAAAATAACATGCTCTGCAATACAAACAACAGCATATTTCTAACATACTGTTACAAAACTCATCAGGTTTAGGAGAAAAAAAATAAAATTTATCAAAGAAATCTTAATTCGCACAAATAAGTCAAATTAAAATTCAAAAAAGAAGGTGATGATGCTCTTCACACTGGAAAGAATTCCTCTAAATCTTGTCACTAGTCCTGTACAGAAATAGATGCCATACAGATTGAAAAATGAAATGCCAAGATCATCCACTTGTTAGTAGATTGCATCTACACTAATCCTACCCCAAATTACATTTTCACGCCTCAACTTAATCAGTCATCTCCATTTTGTTTCTGAAGCAAGTTCACAAGAAAACTAGATTTCAAAATAAATATTTGATAGATCACTAACTTTTACAATGGATTAGTGAAATTTTGCTTTTTTAAAGCTGCAAAGAGATTTGAAAATGGCTAGTAGCTGTGGAGGCTGCATTTTCTGGGGGATTGTTTTCTTCTTTGAGAGGTTTTGCTTCGCTTTGGGTTTTTTTTTAGGATTTGGATTTTTGATGTTGGGTCAGTTTTGTTTGGGTTTTTTTAACAATTTTACCACAACAGTTTTTATTTCTTTTTTACAAATCCTTACCAACTGTGGAGCTGTCTTCAAGTACTACATCCACATTCCTGTCTCTGTACTCAACCCTGAAGTCAAGCATTCGAGGTTGTCTTTCCACTATTTGTCTAGATGGCACTACATGGCGAAACGCTGAGGATGAGGAAGGAGGTGAAGAAGCTGCTGTAGAATGACTTGTGGGGCCATACGCTGGTCCATGTAAAGTCTCTCCACCGTACTCACTGAAAGATATGCACACAGGAGGTTTAAACAGAACAGCTTGATACGTTTAAATGAAAGTTAGCAAAGCAAAATGAACAATATCATTCACTTACTATGGTCCACAGCACACACCTCTTGAATAAACTACACTGCTATATCTGAAAAAATTGTTTCATTAATAATTAGAAAATAGCTTCATATCAGCAATATTAATATTTCAATGACTCAAATGCTATAGGAGAACAGCTTAGATGATAAACAGGCATTTAAACCATTATTTCAGTCTAAAGTTCACTTTGTAATCAATATCAGAATTATCTTGAGAAGCAGCATTATTTCCAGTTCCATGAGTGCTGTGACCATATAAAAACTGGCACCATGGCAACCACCAGCTTTCTACATCATTAAGCTAGTATCATATGGAAATGAGAGTAAGAAATAAAGCTTAAAATACTGCACATGTATTGGTATTTTCCAACACCAAATTAGTGGAAACAAGTCAGATATGAAAACAGTTATGTACTTACAGTAAATAAATCAGGATAATGAGGTATATATTGCAAAAACACACCTAGAAGTACAACAGTAACGCAACGCTGAATTCTAGCTTGCCTTTAAGTTCAAAATCCTTCAAAGCCTCCTAGACATTCATATAAGGATGTCTCCTTACCTGGCTCAAGGATACATACAAGCATTACAGGGTCAGAATAAATTGGGAAACCCTTACTACCCAGAAGCACTTCATCTTCCTCAGTGAGCCTCTCCACAAAAAGCATGAAACTGGGATTAGAAACAAAGGTAACAAAACATGAAATTTAAGGAATGTTACGCCAGGCCAAAAAAAACTATGATGTACAGAAAGTAAATTTGGAAGGCGAGAAACTTCACAGGGCAAGCCTAGACCTTTGCCATGTAGATGCTCTGATCAGGGAGGTCCTGGGCAGTTACAGGATACCATGAAGGAAGATGCAAACTAATAAAATGTATGCACTAGAAGAATGGAAGCCAAGCAAAGAAGGATTTAGGAAATGCTGAGACGCAAGTTGCCTCATTTCTATTCTTAAACACAACTTATTTGAAAAATGCATTCTGCTCTTCTTGAAGATACCATGAGATCTGTCAATGGAAATGCTTCTCATAGCAAGTTAAGTCTGTGATCTAGAGGAGGCCTGAACTTAAAAAAGCGTTAAGTGTGGATGACATGCACGTCACAGAAGCGCCAAAGTTATATAGAGCTATTGCAAATCCCATCACTGTGCATTCCACACTTGAAAAACATGTTATGCTTGTAAAACAAGGGGCTCCTTCACTTCTCACATTAGCAAGCTCAAAAGGATCAATTCCCAGCTACGAAGACCCACACTCAAAGACCCACGCTCAAAGGTCAAAGACCCACTTCAGAGGTCTAAAGAGGACAGGAAAGAGTCTTATTTTCAGGCTTTAAAATAGTATAAATACTGAGTGATAAGTTATTGTCTCAATCTGATGTCCAGCTATGAATTAAGTACTATAACCATTTTGCTAGCAGACCTAAGAAACAACGACAATCCTGATTCTGAGAATTGTATTTTGTTCTGTTGGGTTTTTTTAAATAAAGCAGCTTTTTTTTGTTTTTAAACAAAACTTTTTTTTTCCTTCAATAAATTAACTTACTTCAAGTCCAGTTGTATTAATTCTATTTGATTCCACCACAAAAGGTATCCTACATATCTGACTAGCAAACCCTAATGGAACATAAAAATCCTCGTATCAGTAAAGAAAGCCTCATCTGAAAACCACTGGAAAGTCTTCTGAGCCTCCTTTTAAACCTCTTCCATTGAAAGAAAAAAAAAAATGACACATTTGACTGTCTAATCATTTCCAAAAATGAATAAACTAATGATGAAGAAAGCTGAAAGCGGACCCTGGACCAGCTTGCTATTCAAGTCCGGCATAACCACTCCCCAACTCCTCTCCCCTGACCAAATGCTTCCTAATATTCTGGTATTTTGAATATAAATGCTTTGAAGTCAAGATTTATCAACATAGGTAGAAAGAGTGCTCAACACAACCAAGACTTGATCTCAAATGGACTAGGTAGGCCTTATGGTAAATAAACAGTTTTCTAGTAACTTTACAACAAATAAGATTTTATCCTGAACCAAAAACTGACTCTATTTAATGAAAGCTTTAGCAAGCATTGACAGAGATGCCAAAATATCACTTTACCTACATTATGTATCTTCTCCATCATTAAAATAAGCTTTTAAAAATAGTATATTGAGTATTTTTCTAAGTGAAATTTTAAATGCTATTTTACTGTCTCTCTCAAGTAGTTCAATTCCTGTTCTGCTGTTTTCAATTGCCTCATCAGCACTTAGGAGCTCATGCTTCATTGACTTCAAGATATACAGGCATCAGTATACAAGCCAAAATATAATTCAAAAGCTAAAAGAAAATCAAAATTTTAGAAGGGAGCAACCTAACATTACCTAACACAGTATCTGCTGCCTGTAATTCAATTTAAATACATATATATTTAAATTTATATATAATTTAATATATAATTATATATTATACATCTATAATTTAAATATATCTAAAAATATTAACTTTTTTTGGCAGGGGACAAAGAAGCATGGAATATTAATACCTTTAAAAACGCGTAAGGAAAAAGATAATACTTAGTCAGGAATATCTGTAGATTTGCGTTGCAGATTTTTAGAACTTTGCAGAAAAAAACTAAGCTCTGACTTCCAAGAAAGCATACCAAAATCCAGACTCATTAAAGAGACAATCCCGCATAGAATGACCCAACAACCAAATAACTGAAAATAAAAATTAACTAATTTGAATAGGTGTTTGAGCTGGTCCTCCATCAGTATGGGAAAAATTGAATGTTAAATCAGTTTTGCCAGGAATTAAATTTGTGGTTCCAGAAACTGCTTTAATGAAGAATTACATCATCTTCTTAGGATTCTGGAACAAAACCATAACTATTACCCAGCATCATCCTCTGTGTGTACCACTCCGTCTTCTGTGCTTACCTTTGTAGAATGCCATTTTCTTGTGGTATTACACCATTTATAGCTTCCTGAAAAGAGAAAACAAATTTTGAGTCAAGCATACAGAGTTAATAAAAATAAACCAGAACTACTATAATATGTTTTAAAGAGTGATTAGCTTGCTTTAAAATATGCCATAAAACGTTCTCCATTCAATGAATATATTCTTGGTAAATGATACTGTCATTAAAGTACCTGCTTGAAATAAAAAACGTATTTAAGTGGAAACCAACATGAACAGGAGTTCAGACTCCTATATGCACATGATGGATTTCCCAGGTGGAATGCAGGGGAACAAACTGCTTGGCCCATGCTCAGTAAATCTAACGCTTCGCACACTCGGCACATACATGCGGCGAACACACTGCTTTCGGAAACACCGAGCTAACTGTGCACAGACAAGGTGGTCAGACAGCACGTGCACAGAAAACCTGATGTCTCCTATAAGTATCAGACCTGCACAAACCTGCACAGCTGCGCATGCAGTGCCCGTTGCGAGTGTTCACGAATTGCTGAAGTCGGCGCGAAGGGCTACGCAACAGCGCACGTGCCTCCATCACACCTGCACCTTCCAGACCCTCCTTCTAGCTCATGCACACAAGTGCCATCTAGGCTCTTCAGAGTCTTCAAGCGCCAGGGAATCACAGAAACGACTACCTCCAAAATTCAAACAACCTTCAGGTAGTAAAGGAAGTATTTTTAAAGTAAGGTTTATGAGGTTAAATATGACCCCATGCTGTCCTGATCATCCAAATAAATCAAACATTATTCATAGGTGTGTAAGCACAAACCTGGCAGGTTGCATTCAGATTTGGTCTTATTTGAAATTAGAGAGTTCTCACCTATAAAAATATCCTAATGAAATCTACCTCATATCAAAATGCATTATGTTTAAAATAGCCACAACACAGCCCAGTTGCAAGTTCAAAACCCCACTTCTGAAAAAATGGTCTTCTCAGCCTGTTGCAGCATTGCTCCATTCTATATTGCAGAAAGTTTTAATGCATTTCCAGCACATCTGATGCTATAGAAGTTTGTATAAACTTTGAAATTATATGTAAGTCAGGATGAGGGAAAAACTTGGAAAGCAAATAAGACTCTCTTCAGCAGTATTTCAAAGACAACTTATTTCAGACTGCTGTATTCCAGTAAAAAAAAAACGTGTTTTAAAATCATCTTTTTGCTAAGATTTTTTAGATTTAAGGGGCAGTGAAAGTGGTACTATGTGAGCTGGTGAAGATGACTTACACATTTTACTCTTCAGCTGTTTAAACTCTGTTCTAATTATTGTTAGAAGCCATGAGAGTAAAGATGTCTTACCTAACTTCAGACTTTTAATCCTAGCCCAGCTGTGGGCAGATAAAGTGGAATAGCATAGAAAGGAATTTGATAAGGAATGAGAAAGAATCAAACAAAAATCTAGAGTGGAAAAAAAACAGAACTCCAAATACAAATTCTATTTCTGCCCTTATAATGATCTTTGTAATCACTATTGTGTTCACAGGTACATATTTGTTAGGCTTAACAGTGAGATTAAAGAGAGCTTGTAGCATTCCACTAATCTGCATTTTCTACTGTACCACCAGCACTTCATAAATTTCTACTATCATAACTTCTAATATCACTAATATCCGTTCTCCTATGTCAGATGTACCTGGCCTGTTGGCCAGTGTACCTGGTGAATGAGTGTCTGGTCCCTGATGAAGAGGAGAACACTGACTGGTACCCTAGAAGGACAGAGTCATGTACTGCAACACAACTATGGACAGTTATCATCTATCGACATCATTTTTACAAATTTACATTAAATGTACAGCTCAAGTAAGTGCTTAAAAACCACAAAACCAGACAAGATCAAGATTTAAACACTATGTTTTCTTTTTCTCTTAATATATAATCATTAATTTTCACAATTTCCATTAATAGTTAAGGTTACAAAGAGTCAAAAGAGTATTACTGTTGAACTCAGCTAAGTAACTATGATATCATAATAAGCTTCCCCATGTATTTAGAGACAAATATTGCATAAATAATAGCAAAAAAGGCAGACAAGGAAAAGGGTCACAGGCATCTAAGCTACAGCAACTACCCATGAGGCTGTTTCAAATTACAGTGAAGACAAAACTTCCTACCAGATCAGTTTTTAAATCAGTTTATCCGCTGTGCATGGCAATAATCAGTGGTTTCTTTTTAACAACATGTCTCATTTATCATCATTGTGGTTTCTGCAGTCATGCATAGCTCTTCGTCATGTTTATCTAATAAACCTCCAGGAAAAAGTGGGAGGTTTTGGTTTATTTGGGTTCTTCTGGATTGGCTTCCTCCCCCAATACTCTTCAGCAACACACACTTCATTCTTGTCAATCAACAGGTAACATTAGTTGAAAGCCAAAAACATCCTTTATTTTGCATCCGTAGAATACAGAGAGCAAATACAGGGTTTTGTACTACAGGGCCAACACTAATAGTTATGTCTTGGTGCAACAGAATTATCTTTACTCTGAGAAACGGAAGCTGTTTCAGCTACAAAGAAATATAGCAGTGTGTGGCATTTCCACACTTTTTCTGTCAAAGTTCATGTCTCAGTCTCAGAGGATTATATCAGCTCAAACTTTTTCTAAGCCTAGCTAGAGGGGTTAAATACAATAGAGGTTCTAAGCTATTTTCTTTAAAACTGAATAACTCACTTCTTTACATCCCCATCATAAACTTGATGACATTTAAGAGGCACAGTAGTCAGAAAACAGCAGCAGCATTATGTACCTTTTTGATGGAAAGACCTCTATTAACCACACAGTAAAAATAAAGAGTCTGGACACTGTTTGTTAAGCAAGATGGAAGACTAAAATTATGTAGACAGCAAATGGTAGCAGTGCACATGTAGATATTGCATAAATATTAAATACCCATGTTCTTACAAGACATCTATAAGTAGATCCTGCAAAGAAAACAAGAAAAAGGAACAACCATCTGCTTTAGAATTTCATAGGAAGAAGGTTGTGACTTAAAAAAAAGAAGAATGTTATTAAGGTAAGATCTGTTCCAGGCTGTTCTTCCCCAGTGTCAGTCCCCTTTGAGAGAGGATCAGGTCTCTATGGTTAAGCAAACATTTGAAGATTTTTTTTTTTTTTTTTCCAAACAGGGATCATTTGATCATCAAAAACAGCCTGTGTGACTAATATAGAGTAATTAAAATACGTATTATCCTTGAAACAATTTTAATAACAGGTGCAGTAAATCTATTCATGGGTTATTAAATATAAAGATACCATGCCTGGCTCAGAAAATTTCTTCAGCTCCCAATAACCTGTTGCTGAGAGTGCTACCAGGGCAGTAGTGCTCCGTGTTTACGCTGTTCTCACACTGTGCATATCCACGAGTGTCACTGCTGGATACTGGGCACTGCAGCTTCAACAGGTATTTACCTATTGTACTGCTATCTCTATTTAAAGTGTGAAGCTCACTTTAAGTGGAAAATTACAGGGGTTTCATAAGATTTTCTTCCCAAAGCTAAGAATCTTAGGTATGTCTCAGTACTACCCATATACAACCTCTACTGCAACACTGCTCAAACTTGGAAGAGAAGAATAGAAGCAAGGATATAGTTACTGTTTTCATTACAATATTCAAACAACTACCAGGCCCACAACTTACTGTAGGAAATTACAAGCCAAATTTAGTTATTCTTGATTTATACATTTTGTTTAGAGGTATCAGCCATAGATCCAGGAATTAAAACAGCTTATTTAAAAATTTATTAAGGCCTGCGTGACCTGATCTAATTGGACCTGCTTTTGACCAGACTGCCATCCAGAAGTAACTTCTAACCTTAAGTACTCTACAACTCCATCATCCAACAGTATAAGATATATCGATAAACATTACTGAGAATCCTGTTCATTTTAATGAATGAGAAGACAGGAATATGATACTGGACCAAGGAGGGCCAATTACAAGAGTTCAAAGTAACAATACTTTTTTTGAGTGTTTCAACAGCAAGCTTCCAGTATCAAAATATATTGAATCCAACTTTTTTGTTGTTTCCCACAAACACAGGAAACAATAAAGCAATAGGATTAATAAAAGGTTACAAAATTCATTAGTAGTTTAGGCAACACAGAAACTCTGCAGTATTCTACAAACAGACTGAAATTATTTAAGTGCCTAAAGAACACTGTGAAGCAGACTGAAATGTAAAGCTTTTCCTCAAGGGAATATTAACGTAAACAGACTAGATAGTCACTTTAAGTCAGAACTATCTTTTATGAGCACAAATCAGTGTTAGTGAGAAAAACAAGAACCACCACTTCTTAATAACCTGATGAAGTAACGTTGATGTCTTCTCTCAAAATACAAAATTATTGTACCAACCATTTAAAAGCAATTGAGCACATCTTACAGTGACTCTCATGCCAGGTGAATGAGCGTCCATCTGATGAATAATTATAGAATCATAGAATGGTTTGGGTTGGAAGGGACAATAAAGATCATCTAGTTCCAACCCCCTGCCATGACATCTTCCACTAGAACAGGTTGCTCAAAGCCTCATGAACACTTTCAGGGATGGGGCATCGACAACTTCTCTGGGCAACCTGTTCCAGTACCTCACCACCCTCAAAGTGAAGAATTTCTTCTTTATATCTAATCTAAATCTACCCTTTTCACTCTTGTCCTATTGCTACATTCCCTTGTGAAAAGTTCCTATCCAGCTTTCTTGTAAGCCCCATTTAAGTACTGGAAGGCTGCTAATTATGAACACGGTATATTAGATAGCACAAAACCTACACTTCTGATTTTAAAACTCTTGGTGGTTATCACGAAGTTGGAAAACAGACTGGATTTGCCAATCATATTATTTAAACGCAGAGGTCTACATATACTGATGGTATATTTAAATGAGGCAAGGAATTCTTTCCTCCTCATGAACTATAGATGGGAGGTTTTACTTAAAGAATTTAAAAGTGATGTTTAGATGAACTATCTTAAGAGTTTAAAAGCAGGCCCAGACAAAAGCACAGTTAAAGGCTTT